TTGTTATTAATAATTAAAAATATTTATTAAGTATTTAATTAAATATTCTTAATGGCTAGATATATTACTATTAACAACAACAACAATTCACAATCTTAACTTTCACAATCATATTTTTCACCATGAAAAAGTTTCCTTTAAACTTTAAAAAAAAAAAATCATTAATCTTTAGGAATAATCAGGAAAATACTTACACAGAAGTAACAAGCATCCCATCAGCGATATACAAGAATATAAATACGGGAGGTAGAATTCCCAGAGGTCTGTAAAGAAAACATTGAGCACATCCTTAGGTTATTACAAATAGTCTACTTCTGTCACAAACACAACTGAATTAACTTCTTGCATGTTCAGGATTGAACAATTGTATTTTTTCAAGAATAAATTAAGAATTATTCAATTAACAACCTGCAGGCAACTAAATCCCCAAGTACTTTAGCTTGAAAAAACATCTTCAGCTTTTACTTTCAATCCACTTAAGTCACTTGTTTTTAACATACATCATGTGCACACGAGCATGGAACTTCTCAGCGTGCTAGAAACGGATTTAACAGAAAATACGGTATTGACTAAATCAATACAGCTTCTTCGCAACCTGTGCAATGCTCACGTAGCATTCACTAGAAATACATTTAACTGCAAACATCCATTTCCATAATTAAAATGAATTATGAATTAAAAATCAAAACTGGTGTGGTGGGGTTTTTAATTCCATACCATACAAAGACTCCATACTGGCAGCATCATTGTCTATGAGTGCTGAAGCCACCCATACGATTCCAAGGATAAGCAGTGCAAGAAGAATAAGCATTACAAGGGTTTCCAAAATGCGTGCTCTGATGCCCTGCGGACAAAAGAAGAGAGAGGGAGAAAAGAACTCAGCCAAGAACTTCGATTCAGATATTTTCAAACATTAAAAAATACAAATAAATAGCAGTTCCTTATTCCTAAATATACAGTCATGTTTCATCATGTAGACAAAAGCATAACATGTAACATGCATTTAAAAGGCTGTGCATAAAAAAAAAAAAAAAAGGAAGTACTTATGGCTTTATAGTGCCCAGATTGCATTTTTCCCCTTAAAACCATAGAAAAACATTCTAAATTGCTTATGCCTTACAGTTCTCATTAATCTCATTATTCCATAAAGTCTTCTTTATACCACACGATTTTGCTCGAGCATTTTTAAAAGATGGATTACTTTGCTAATACTTTCAGCGAAGAAAGTGGATTAGCAAATTTTTATCTATGATTCCAATCAAGGGAATGGAAAGCCAATTATGGCAAATAGCCAAATGGCCCGGCGAGCATTAAGCCCTGTGCAGGTACAATGCACCAATTTCGTTAAAATACATTCCTGGAGCTTGCGGTTGCTCCTGCACCGCTCCTCACAGTCTTCGGAGCCCTCAAGCGTGCGGTGGGAGTAGTGCTCGCCCAGAGCCTGCCCCAGCACCGCTGCTGCAGCCGCATCCATCCCTTTCCACCGCAACTACGCAACATTCTTTTCATTGGTGTTTTTAACAGTAATTTTAGGCACTGCAAGCAACTGAGCTATTGGGATGCTTCCTTCAGACATCCTCGCTGTTGCAGAATCATCAGGTCGCTGTTACCATAGCAATTTTGCTTTTCTTTTTCGTCGTTTGTCAGCACCTTCATCTCCACGAGCAAACCCAATCTCTTGTTTCTCACACAGGTTCACCCCAGCTTGGGAATTCCACTGAAAGTCTGCTTTATAGTTACAGGCAGAAAGCGTTTGATTACTTTATTGTTTGTATACTTTTATCACCTATTCCCTCACTGCTTAACACAAGAAGCTAATCTTTACATGACATTTACCCTGAAAGTTACACTCCCCACATAACCACTGCTTCCAATCATGAATAAAGATCTCAGGCACCCTGAGCATGAGCAGAAGACCAGCACACCAAGTCCTTTCCACCAAAAGTCCTCTGTAGAACAGCTAAGGTAGCACAAAGGAAAAACAGGCAAGGAGAAACCTTCATAAAATTCCCCTTAAGGCTTAAGTGAGCAGATTAAATCCAATTCCATAAGGGATCTCATACACCGAATTTCAAATTAAAAGTACTATGGCCAGGATACGGATTTACTCCTAGAATGTATCTTGTGTATAACAGAAGTGGATTTGAGGTTGTTAAAAGTTATTCACGTTATTTTTGTAGTGCTCAGAAACTAGCTTTCAGTCTTCCACAAGTTATTTTGAAGGTCAGCATCTAAGCCAAATAGATGCATTCATCTTAAACACATGGCTATTTAATCTACAGAAGTTTTGAACTTGAGTAATAAGTTACCAGGAAACAAACAGATTACAGTCTAAGTGCTGAGTATTGATACAGAGCCTTCACTTCACAGCAAAAGAAAGTCACAGGATTAGAAGAAATCCCGAAACATTCAAGGATGCATGCACAGAGATCTGCTTCAAGCTCTCCAAAATTCTCAAAGACTCCTTTCTTTTCCTAGGCAGAGGAAAATATAAAACTACCTTCTGGGTTTGTGAAAGCCTGAGGCACAGAAAGCGGATTCCTCACTTCCCTACTATGAGACAGAAGCACAAATCTCAGCTTCTCTGATTTCTAGTTTCACAGCAATGGATTCTTGTGAACAAATATGGAAAATATTTCATTTTACATGGTCACCTGAACACCAAATGCGCCTCCCTTGGGTGGAGTTATACAATTGTCAAAATAGATAAACAAGAAATACAATGGGATACAGAAAGTCAACTGTAAATCCCTTTTCTGAAGATTAGGACAATACTAATAGCACTGACTCTCAAGTAAAGGAGAGATGGTCACAGCAAGTACTAGGAGGTAACCCTTGCTTTTGGCCATAAGCACCATTGGCACAGAGCAGAAAAAGACAGTTTAGCTGCCTGACGAGCCTTCCCCAATTTTTGGTTTCCATGCTAGCTTGAGTAATCTTTGATTATCAGGAAATTGGATCAATCTCCTCCTGCTCTCACCAGTTACACCTATCGCTGCACCTGTGTGGTACATCAACACTACTGCAACCTCACATATGTTTTGAAAATTATGACTGACAGTTCACTCTACAGGCAGAACAATTTTTAAATTACAAAGTGCACACCCAACAGTATTCATGCGCTGATGATCATTTTAAAATAGTAATATTTTGAAGAACTTCAGTGAAGTGACTAGACAGAAACATTCTGCTATACACCCTAATGAATACCTGGTAACAGTCCAGAATAAAATAAAAATATTAAGATGCTTAAAACATACAGGTAAATATTTTATTTAAATTAGGTACCTATAAGACTGTGCCCTATTAAAACACGAATGTTCCAGGCACTTTACTCCATAATTACATACATTAGTGTACCTGTCAAATGGCTGCTATTCATAAGGAATGAAAGGCACAGAATTTCCCCCCAAGCATGCACACACACACACACAGACAAAACTTCTGGAGAATCACAGAATACCTGAGGTGGGCAGGGATCTCTGGAGGTCATCTGGTCCAAACCCCTGCTCAAGCATGGCCACCCAGAACCAGTTACCAGGACTACGTCTGGGCAGCTTTTCTCTGTCTCCAGGGATGGAGACTCCTCAACCACTCAGGGCAACCTATGTCAGTGCTCAGGCACCCTCACGGTACAAAAAGGAGCAAGAAGTGAGCCTTAGGTATCCTTACTACTTCTTGGTTTTACTGAAGATAGTTTAGGTTTTCAGGTGAAAAATTCAAAGCTTGAACACTATCATTGGTACGAGCACTAAGTTAAGAGCTGGGCAAAAATCTATACTCCTGATCCTGAGAACAGAGAGAAAAACAGGTAAATACAAGCAACAATTCATTTTATTTCAATGAAAGGAAAACTATGTACATAAACCTTGAAATTCAATGCTGGCTTTTTTTTTTTTCCCCCTCTCCTGAGCAAAAATCTTTTCACTGACATTTCGGTTTTGGCTTTGAGTCATTTCACTTCTCTCCCACAACTCCACTATATTACTCAGATTTCTTAGATGAACTAAATGTCACAGTCTATCTTCATGGCACTGAAGATATTGCCATTTCTATCTCACTCAATACTTGTTGCACTTTTTGAATCCATTTAGTCCTCACATTTTTTGTGTGAAAAGAAGCATTAGAGTCTGCCATCTTCAAAATGAGCAACAACCCCATCTAAATCCAGAGATTTCAAATCAGCTTGTAAGAGTACATTTATTGTTCAATTTCACTCTACTTGACTGAGCATCTGTCTTGAGTACAGAATTAACAAGTACAAAAGGAAAAATCACGTAGTGCAGGTATGTAGGTACTTCAGATTCCATCCCTGGAAGTGTTCCAAGACCAAGCAAGGTGTCCCTGCCCACGGCAGGGGGCTTGGAACTAGATCATGAAATCACAGAATGGTTTGGGTTGGAAGGGATCTCAAAGATCACCTGGTTCCAAGCCCCCTGCCACAAGCAAGGATACCTTCTACTAGATCAGGTTGCTCAAAGCCCCGTCCAACCTGGCCTTGAACATTTTCAGAAATGGGGCATCCACAGCTCTGGGCAACCTGTTCCAGCGCCTCACCACTCCCACAGTAGATGATCTTTAAGGTCCCTTCTAACCCAAACCATTCTAGGATTGTATGAAACTAGCATTCTAACTAAGCAAGGAAAAAGTCACACAAGATTACATCTTGGTGTCAAAAAAAGTGACTGCATTTGAATCAAATGGAAGAGTTCTTTGACTCCTCCTCCTCGTCAGCGTGCAACATGAAACCAAGGAAGCCCTTACACGCAAGTGATGGAGGTGCCCATCCCGCAAGTGCAGCAGGTGTGCACGTGCGTATGTTCGTGCACATACAGGGGCAGGTGAGGGAAGAAGGGAAGGGTCAACTTTAAACATTCGAACTGGAAAACTCTGATGTAAATCAGGAGAAATTGCCTCACAAGCTCCTACAATCACAGCTTAACATTCCTATGGAAAACTAAACTGACTATAAGAAACAGGAATGGGAAAATACTTTGTATTTTTAGCTTTCCATATTGTATTCAAGAAGGAAAATTAAGTTGCCCAAGTATTCATCTAGTCTTCTTTTCCTAATGGTTCTGACAGGTAAGAACAAGGAAAGTAAGCACTCTGCAACCAACCAACTTGCATAAGTTTTTTCAGAAAGTTGCTCTAGATCTCATACTTCAAACCTGCATTTGATAACACAAATACTACTTCATTCTTAGGACGCCCTTCATTACAAACAGAATGCATGTACCACAATTAATTCACCATCTTATGAATTATTTTAATGCAATTCCACCTGCACTTTAACCCGTTTTAAGGAAGGAGGGTCTAATTTCCAAGCATAGACTGTACAGTAAAGCACCCAAAAGATACCTCCAGAATACTAACACAATGAGGAAAAAAATACTATCCTACATTCTAGGATTTAAAGAACAACTCCAACATAAAATGAAGACTAACACAAATTATAAATGTCTATACAGCTTATTAAGGAGCGCATAAGGAGAACAACCTTAACACCACTATCAATTAAAATATCAAACTCAGATTTCAGTACAGCGTTAACAACACAACCTTAAATAATGCTTCTATGTTAAAGATTTCTGAGACTTTATAAAAATATCTTTATAAAAATTAAAAATGTTTACCTCTAACTCAGACTAAATTGTGTTGGTTTTAAATACGGTGATAAGACAATTCCAAATGAGAAGAGTGAGCTCAGGCAATACCCTTGCCTTATTTCCAGTTGGACAAGTTGACTCTTGCAGTTACTTCTATTAGTATGTCAATTTTAAGGAGGTCAATTCCCTTAGTTTCTCTTGACCAGTTACTGCTGGGATGCTCATTAAGCTGGAG